CGCAATGTCAGTTATTTACCGGGATCAGAAGACAAAATCTGTCAAGCCCTCCTCTGCTGATTCGTCCCCGAGCCACACTCCCTAAGGAAACGTGAGATTCCTCCGCGCCATCGGTCCAAACCTTCTCTTGTTCCACCCCTGATTATGCAAACCAGGGACTTGACTTTGTGCTTTATAGCCTTTTTTCCCCCTTTGTAATATAGCAAGTTGGCACACTGGACTAGCAAAAGTGTAGCCGCTACAAGACTGGCAAAAGAACCACAACATAGAGATTTTAGACCAGCAACTAACTGATACCTTGCCTCGGGCAGTAGTAGCTGAGGACTCAGGGAGCAGCCCCGTTGATCTGGATACCACCCCCTCCCTGCTAATCTTAGGATGGCAGTGAAAACTGTTCTTTTCCCATGAGATTTTCAGGCAAAAGGTGCTATTTAATCTGAGGCAACTGCTGGTGTGGGGTATAGAGATGTGAATGTGTGAATCTAGAATCTATGGAGTAGGTGATATACAAAGGTGCCTATGTCTAAATAAATACCAGAGAAGGAAGGCGGAAGCACTGGAAATATCTTCCACAATCTGACACTTACCAGAACTTTACTCCCACCATCCCATAATGGTCATACAGTCTGGGAATAATGGAAGTTGTAGTTGAATGTGGGGTCCAAGTTGGGGAGGTGCATGCACAAACGCATGTGCAATGTGGGAAAGATGCATAGAGTTCTAAAATGTATTAAAACTCTCAGAATTTGTTTGGTCATGTTGGAGTTGAAGGAAGACACTAGGCTGAGGAAGGTTACTCACAATTAATATTACTGCACACACAGAGAAACACACTAAGGACAAAGAACAGCTTTGGAAAAATAAAAAAACCAGGATGAAACTTAATATTTTTAGACATGCACACAAACCTCATTTTTATCACCTTTATAGGGTTTCAATCAGGTCCATTGAAAAATCCTGTATTTGAGATCTACAAACTCTGTTTACACTGAATGCTGCAGTAAGGAGAACATATCAGAAGAAGAACATAATTTTCAGAGAATCACAGGAAGTTCCAGTCTATACAACCGAACCAACACGTTACTGCCATTGCAAATGTTACTAGCATTACCAAAAGACGTGATGTTGCAGCCATCAAGTGACAGGCACACACATACCAAGGAAGTGCCATGGTTCAGAGAATGCGGTTTGGAATCTGTTTCTGATCTCTTGTCTGCCAGCCACCAAGGCTGCAGACTGTTAAAGCAATAGCTCAGCAGGTGTACTGCATAGGACTCAGAAAGTAATTTCATTAGGACACAGGGTAAGCCATTGAAACTTTAAGCCTTCAAAACATATGGTAAATATGAAAGGCAATACAGTAGTAATAATGTCAATAAACATATCAATGTCCTTTTCAAAACAATAGGCTTTTTTCTTCAAGTAGACTAGGACTGAGATAAGACAGGTTGAAAATGGTTGTGTTATGGCACCATTAATTTGCACCCTGCTGAAACTAACCAGATATGGGTCAGGTCAAGGAAGTTGCCCTGAGTTCCAGGATGAAAGAAAGATAGGAAATAAACCAACTAAACAAAAATCGGGGAATACATGTTATTCAGTTTGGCTGAATCTACTTCTGATCAGTTACCTAGGTCACTACAGAAAGCGGGGAGGCATATGAATTGATAAATAAATGCACATTGATCAAATGTATAGGACTGAGATTAATAACTAAAAAATAAAGATGCATCTCTCAAGTTTGACTTCTGGTAATTTCATGGACATAACAATCCCATTTTCTTGACAAATAACACAAACATAGTTTGCTACTGACTTGTTTGGGGATGTTTTTGCAACTTCCCGGTCTCGCTTACATCCCTGAAATTTTCTGGTGAACTAATGAAGCCTGACCCTTCTTAGTTTTTTGAGATCAGCCTGAGTTTCTTATCTGCAAAAATAATTCTGGCTGGCTTTAATAGATTATTGCAAGGAATAGCAAAATAAAGTCTGGATTCATAGGATGATGTGGATGGTTAAATGACCCCCTTCCTCTAATTTTTACACAGAGAATGCAGGATGGGCTCAGAGATATATAGTCGTCAAGGATCACTGTCCTTTTAAAGGCTCTTATTTGGGTTTGGAAGGGGATCATATTTGCTGAGATGAAAGGCACAGATTGGTGGTGACTCATTTCTTACAGTTTGTTTTCACACATTCAAATGAGTCAATTCATGTGCTGATAGCTGTTATTGACAGTTATTTAAAGATGTGTATATTCCACCTTCTAATCTCTCTAGATTCAATCACCCACCCACCCACCCACC